CCCCTATCTCTAAGTTGACCCTCTCCGAAAAAGAGCATCAACGGAAATTATTGTTTGTGGTGGTTTCTGATTCCTAGATGCAAGCCCTTATTGTCACGGGCTCCTCCTGCGTTCTTCACAATTTCCCTAACAATAACAATGCCGAGTGCAAACATGTTTTACCTGCTACTATCAGGCCTTCCTGCAATCTGAGAAATCAAAACACAACCAGAAGAAGCAGCCTCGGAACCACTTGGCCTTCCATCTCATTTGCACTTTTCGGGTCAGGTTTTTTCTTAGGTCCTTTGATCGATGGACTCCATTCAAGGGTAGAGCTTGTGGCATACCAAAACGGGTGTATCAATATTGGTCCTCTTCACACAAACATCTGGGTAAACTCAATAATTTCTCTCATTTTGGGAATTTTTTCTCTGAAAAATTAGTGAATATAGCTGTTGATTGATTCCATCTAATGTTGTTAGGTTCCTGTTTTGCTGGGTCTGTTCTACTGCACTGTTGGGTTGCTTCAACTCTTCTTGGATGAGAACGAGAGGGCCCCTTTAAACAGTCCAGAGGCCAACCAAGAGAAAACGATTGCTTCTTTTCTGTGAGCATATATGTTTTGTGTTTCAAGCTCAATTTTTCTCAATTGTTGCAACGCAATTATGTGGTTTTTAAGTTGTGAGCATGTGTTGTTGCCTGTAATGTAACAAAGGACATTGTTGTTCTACGCAGAGCACTTGTGCTATTTATAGAGTTGAGCGCTGAACTCTACAAAGCCGGAACCGCAGATAATATTGAAGCTTACGTACTATTTGCAGCGGCAGAGTTCATATGGTTTTCCGTGGACAGGACATGGTTCGGCTTCCTCCTTGCAAGCATCATCGGAATTGCCTGCCCGCTGGCTGAGATTCCATTAATGAAGTAATGGTTTTCTTCTTTCTTCCTTCCTCTTTCTCCTGATATTATTCAGATATTATATTATATGTTGATAAAACTGAACTCTTTGATGCTCACATTCAGGTTTTTCCACCTTTGGTATTATCCACAAGCAAATGTTGAAATATTTGGGCAGGTGGGTAATTGAAAACCAACCCAACTGAAGGGTTTCTAATTTCTACTTGCAGTTGCAGAGGCATAACCCAACCGTCACTTTTCTGATACATTGAGGTGTTGTTTGCAGGGACTAGTTAGTTGGACACTCGCTTGCTACTTTGTGTACACTCTGTTTTTGATCAATTTTTCACGTTGGCTGAAATCAGTGATTACTGCTGTCGCCGATTCAGAGGACAAGTCGGCATAGTCATATTCTGTCGTTGGTCAAGACTTCCTCATATCCGAAGACAACTCAAGACGACCTTTAGCTTTTCACCTACTTATTCTTGGTTTCAGACATATTATTCTGTACATATTTTCTTTTTCAATATTCCATTTTCTACTAATATGCACAAGTTAATAGAAAATCCCTCCAAAAGTATTTACAACTTGCAAGAACAAAGTTGGAGTTCATTAAGTGCCAGACCAATTGAATATTTGATACGGCTGATTGCACAAAATTCATTTTTGCTAAAGAAACAGAAACTTATTCAACAACATACACGAATTCGAAGTTGATGGAGCAAGCAACTATCCATTATGAATTAGAGTCGTCCTATACAATTATACATCAAAAGCTGAGCATAATGTGTCAAATCTTGATGAGCAACAAGAAGGAAATACAATGCAGAGAGAGAACATCTCCATTCAGAAAGCTACCCAGTGAACACAACGTTGACAATATCTGGGAACTTCTCCTTAATGGCTGCTTTGATTCCTGATCCAATGGAGTCAGGCCCCACATAGTTTACATGGCAATCCCCACCTTCAACAGATAACACTTCCACACTTCCACCAAAGTTCTTTATGGCTGGTCTCAATATGTCAAGATGGCCATTCACTGCCTGCATTTCCAAATTTTGGCACACCATCAATAGTCAAAACTTGGCTGGCACCATGCATGATGAATGCTGAATGAATTGTTTGAGCACTATAGCTCTCATAAACCATTTTACCATTTTCCGTTTACTCAACATCTATCGTCCATGAGATTTGAACTCACGAGCTTCTCCGAAAATGTGGTCATTGGCTCCATTTTATCGTTATTACATGCATTCGTTTTCGAGTATCAAAATTAAGATTATGCAAATTCAATCCATCAAACACTCACCTCAACAGTGGTCTCTTTGTTTTCTTCATCATAGACTTGTTGAATATCCTTGAGCGCATCTCCAAACTTCTCTTTAAGCACTCTTTCAATTCCCATTTTCATGGTGGTGGTTGAGCTAGGGCAGCTCCCACAAGCCCCTGTTTATCATTTCAATTCTTCAAGAAAATGGAATTTCAATTGCCTAATTGCAAAACAAAACATTGATTCCAACTAATTGCCATTGTTTCACAATCAAATTATATGTTGACAATGAGTAAATCATTCAAATTCACAAAACCCAAAATTCCTGACAGAAAAAAGAAATCATATTTCAAATGAAAAAAAGAGACAGAAAAAAGAGATTAGCCAAACCCACCTTGGAGCTTGAGTGAAACGACGCCGTCCTCAACGGACACAACGTCGACGTTACCGCCATCAGCGATGAGATAGGGGCGGACGTCCTCAAGAACCAAGTCGACGTTAGGAACGGTGAGCTCGTACTTCTTGGCGGAGTAGAGTCCAGGTGAAGAAGACTCAGCCGCAGCGCTCGGGTTCGAAGCTCTAATGGTGGTTTTCACAAAGATCGATCCTTGAGAGGTTAACCGGTGCCGTTTTACAAATACAGATTGTGGGTATTGGTGGGACGTGGCTGGAATCTTCGAAAATAGCGTTGGGGTTTTGGGCAAGCCGGTGGCTGTGACAGACTCCATGATTGAATGAAGCAAGACCGTGCAAGTGTCTGCTTCTGGAAGATGGGGGTGGGTAGAGTTTGTGATTTCGAGAAGCTTAGGGGTGTCATCATTCTCAACACTTCAGTCCATGGTTATAACTATAGTTACACAAATACAAAATTTTTGCTAACTTTAACTCAATACGTATCATCAGTGGCGAAGTCAGGATTTCATGTGTGTGGGGGCCTCTTACAAATTATAAAGAATTAAAAGTTCGAACTCACAATACATACGAAAAATAGTATATATATATATATCACATATGTCAAGAATTTATTACTTATTGGTTGCAATCATAATTGTCCTCGACAAAGAGATAGACAAATACATTTTAAGCAAGAAAAATTGTAAGAGATAGACAAAGAGTAGCGATTTAGCAAATATCTTTAAAGCATTTTCCCCTATTAAACCCAATAGAAAGAAAAAAATCAAAATTTCACAAACTAAAAAAAACCTTAAGTCCCTTCATGCATTCATATCATACATGAAAAAATGTTTTATATAAAAATATTGACTAAGTATGAAAAATAGTTTGTCAACATAATCATTTTCTTAGGATAATTTTTGGCGGCTTTTATTCCTTACACATCAAATAAGAAAACTTGATTTTATGAGATTTTAGTATAAAGTATATATTGACTTAATGAGCCATTATTTTTAGCCTAAATTGTATTTTGCACTAAAACCGATTTTATATATTTTGATTTGGTAGGAATTTGATTTTCTAGTGTTTTTATTTGAATCCAAATAGGGGGTACTTCCTTATTTACATTGTAAACTTAAGTAAATGGAGTAATATAAAAATAAATTAAAGTAAAAGGACGGAAATAAGGTAATCTATACACTTGGAGTACACCACCACTAACTGAGCAAATGAGCAATTTGAAGCACCTCATTGTGCCTTAATAGTTCCGCCACAACACACGTGGGTACATATCAAAACGTAAAGTACTTGAAATAATATACATATAGAAATACATAACAGTATATTACTTTTAATATATAAAAAAACTTGAGTGAGGGCCCTGGACCACACTGGTCCTAGTGTGGCTCTGCCCCTATGTACCATTACCACTATTCCTAATTCTTGACACGTGTTCATGAGTATAACTATAATTATACAAATACAAAATAAATAGTTAATTATAGTTATGCCAATAGATGCATATCAAATGTTCAAGTCGACCTCAAACATAAGCCTTGTTCAATGGGTCATCAAAATTGCAATGTCTCAACTCAATTAAAATTTATTACAATGTAATATTTATAGTCTAATTTCTTACATTGCGAAGTACTAAAAAAAAAATTCCTATATTGCAAATAGTATTTAACGTCTGAAATATTGTTATATGTTGTAAAAGGATCACATACGACGGACGGAGTACATGCAACTTTTTAAATGAAAAAAATAGCAGAAGTTCATCATATATAACACATTGGAACAAGAAAAAAAATTTCTCTCCCTCTGCTTGGGAGCTCCTCTCCCCCTGGTGGGAGTTTTCCTTCACCGTACTTTTTACTGGTGATTCTCGCCTTTAATCCTACCATCAATCAAACATTCATTGCGAAATTGGAAGTAATCCGGCGACTATGACTGGTTTTTGGGTTTGACTCCCCTTTTGCTTTAGCATTTATTCCAACTGAGTGATCCTCTGTTACCATTTATGCCTCCGCTCCTCTCATTCTTTCTTCTAAACACCAACCACCGTTTTTGTTCCCCACCAACCAACAAACATTCAAGGCAACTCTGGAAATCTGGTGACTGAGACGAGCTGTTTTGCATTAGATCTTTTTGCCTCAGTTCTCATTCTTTCTTATAAACACCGACCACTGCTTTTATTCCCCACCAACCAACAAACATTCAATGCAACTCTGGAAATCTGGTGACTGAGACAAGCTGATTTGCATAAGATTTTTTTGCCTTAGTAATTCCTCCCTTATTTTCTCCTTTGCTCAAAATCTTGCGCCCCATTTTGGCTTCGAGCTACCCCTATAGGGATGAACACCAACAATCTACGACAAACAAATTTAAGAAGAAAAGGTACGCACCATGAATTCCCCAACAACCAGATCTCCTCAATACTATATATAACGGCTATAGCCATTTACTTTCATCACACCTTCAAGAATCATAAGCATCTGCACCACATCAAGCTGAAGCACATATACCACCACAAACATCCTCACTATACTAGTTTGCAACCTTACCCATTACTAAAACAGCCACACGAACACCATCTACCACACCCCAAACCATTTCAAAAATCCATAGTCTATCCAGAAAGTAACCCCACACCAATAATGAGTGAGATCAAAAGAAGTAGCCAAAGGAGTGTACAGACCAGACCCACGCCAGACGAACTCAGTGAGCACTTGGAGGAGGTGCTGTGAATAACTAATTTTGAAGAGGGGCCGAAACTTGTTGGCGCTGTGATTTCCCAGAAACTACCAAACAATGGGGCAATAAAGAGCATTCTGAAAGCAGCCTGGAAAGACTATGGGGAAGCTAAGATAGTATGGGTTAGGGAGAACCTTTTCTCCATCACCGTTATAGGTGAAGAAATGGCCAGCAAGATTACTGACAATGGACCCTAGTCCATTATGAAATGTTGTTTCTATGTCAAGAGATGGCCTCCAAATCTTGCCATAGAGGAAGTTGAGGTGGACATCATTCCGCACTGGATCCAGATCCGTGGAATCCCGTTAAACCTATGCCAAGAGGAGAATGTGATCAAATTGGGGCGCAAAGCTGGGAAGGTGATTGATTTCGAAGACCCAGGAAAGCAGAGAGGTTTCCTACGAATTAGAATTGGGGTAGATACCAACCTGCCACTTCTTGCCGGTTTCTGGCTGCCCAGGGCTGACGGCACGGAGACTTGGGTTGAGTAAGTACGAGAGGCTTGCTGATTTATGCTACCGATACGGCCGAATTGGACATTCTATGGATGCTTGCCGTTTCGAGGAACCATCTGCAAATGAAACGGCCTATGGAAATTGGACCAGGGCCAAAATTATTAGAGAATTTTATGATTCTAAGCCACCAACCAACACATCTGGAGTAAGAAGGAGAGCTGCCACAGTCGGACAACGCCGTGGGAAAGGGGAAGAATAGCGTGGGCCTCACGCAACAAGTGAGGGGGTGGATACGAGATCTCTAATGAGCCAAAGCCAGCCTGGAATCTGTGATTTGACAAGCAGGCAGCTCGAGCGCAGTCGAATATTAGAGAGCAGGCATAGCCGTAACACCCCTCTCCCATTTTGTCAGATGGTTCAGGAATCAAGACAGACACAGATGATTTTCCCAAGACAAGAAGCACATAGCGTGAATTCTGGAAGTGAAGAGGTATTTACCTTGGAGGAACTGAACGTGACAGCGGATTTCAGGGGCAACGCTTTCATTACCAATTGGAGCAGACTTGACCCAACACTAAGACCATATTGAATGGGCCTTGGGCCATTTGGCACTCCCATGCATATGAAGCCTTTTTTTTTCTTTCCTCAAATTCGTTTGGGCCAAAAATCAACATGGCATCCACTTGAATTATTTCGCATGTAGATTCAAATTTTCAGAATTTGGGCCTAAAGCGAAACCCAGAGGACGAGCGAGCCAGTAAGTTGGAGTCTCTGGGAAAAAAATAGAAGCATGATCACGTGCCTCTTTTAAACCTTGAGGAGGCTAAAACTGAAACCTTATCAAATGAGGCTACAACTGGAAAGGTCTGGCGGTGGCTGAAGGGTCACAAAAGAGGAGGATAATGAAGGCTAGGAAAACCACATATAAGGAAAGTAGCAAGCCTAAGAATGTAAGAAGCAGAGCTCATGCTTTGTTTGATAGTGCAAATCTCATTGAGGTCAACGTCGCTCAAGCGGATGATTGGTCATATGTCCATACTCAAGCAACTGATCAGGAGTTGGGTGGTGCAACCCGGAGAGGTGGCGGCTGGCCTTTAACACCCGCACGTCAACCATGAGCTACATCCTATGGAACTGTCAAAGCCTCGAGCCAGACTTGATAGTTCGTACCCTCCGGGGTTTGGTTCATAAATTCCAGCCCACTGTTGTGTTTTTAATGGAAACAAAATTGAAGGACAACGGGATTGAAAGTTAGAAACGCAGCTGCGGTTTTCAGAACTCGGTACCCCCAATAGGTAGTGCTGGAGGGTTGAGTCTTTGGTGGGATGATAACATTGATCTCGAGGTAAAGGGTTTCTCCAAAAACTTTATTGACATAATGATCACTGATAATCAGAGGGGAACACATTACAGGGCTTCGTGGGTATATGGAACGCCATATAAAAAGGAGAATGAGGCTTGCTGGAACTTTCTCGAAGGTGTCCTCAGATATATCGACCTTCCATGGTTATGCGGTGGTGACTTCAATGAAATCTTATGGTCTTTTGAGAAAAAAGGTGGTTCTGAGCAGCCTTCCAACAGGCCCTGCTACCTTCACAACTTCATGGAGAAGGCGGGGCTCATTGATTTAGGTTACCAGGGATCGAGCTTCACTTGGAGGGCTCACAGGCAGAATGGTATTTTTGTTCAGGAAAGACTTGATAGAGTTTTGGGGAACTTACCATGGCAGGAGTCATGTCCAAGTACTTCCATTAGTCACCACCCGGCCATCGGTTCCGATAACAATCCACTGGTCTTGGAGACAACCATGTATCATAAAAATCATAGAAGGCAGTTCACGTTTGAAGCTTATTGGGTTGATGAGGTGGAGGCTAAACAGATTATTGAAAAAGGCTGGGAAAAGCAAGTTCATGGTCCATGGATACATAAATGGAAAGCTAAGCTTCAACATTGCACTACGCTCCCTCAAAAATGGAGCAGAGAAAAGTTCTCAAACAATAAGAAGAGAATGGAGGCCTTTCATGCTAAGCTCAATGAAAAACAATTAAGGTGGGATGAGAATCATGCAGAGATAAGGCGCATCACTCAGGCGATAACTGAAACCGGGGCAAGAGAGGAACAATATTGGCATCAATGGTCCAGGATAAAGTGGCTTTCAAAAGGGGATGACAATACTGCTTTCTTCCACTAATCTACGATGGCTAGTAGACGACAGAATTGTATCCTTAGAATTAAGGGCGATGGTGGGCGTTGGCATGTGGGTGAGCAAGCCATCAGGAGGGTGTTTGAAGAGCATTTCAAGAACTTGTTCACTTTTGAGGCTCAATTCATTAATGGTGATATTCTTGATTGTGTTGACAGTGTGATCTCTCAAACTACCAATGACAACTTATTGCAGGCAATTACTATGGAAGAGATAAAGGAGGCTGCAATGCAGATGAGAGGTTTAAAGGCTCCAGGTCCAGATGGATATCAGGAAATTTTCTTTCACAAATATTGGGACACTATTTATGATGAAGTCAGAGGCATCACAGAGGATTTCTTCCTAAACAATCAGAGTCTTGGTGCTTTGACTATTACAAACTTGGTTTTAATTCCCAAAATTCCAAACCCTGAGAGAGTTTCTCATTTTCGCCCAATTAGCATATGTAATTTCTCTTTCAAGATTGTATCTAAAGCTATGGCAAATAGATTGAAGGTTTTTTTTGCCTTAGATCATCTCTCCAGTTCAAAATGCTTTTGTCCTAAACTGTCAAATAGGAGAATATTTTAATCGCCCATGAAGCTTTCCACATTTTAAAGCTGCGAAAGACAACAAAAATGTACGATTTGGGCATAAAACTTGATATGAACAAGGCTTATGATAGGGTGGAGTGGCATTTCTTGGAATCAGTCATGCTCAAGATGGGTTTGGATGTTCGTTGGGTCAACTTGGTGATGAATTTGGTTCATATTGTGCAATTCTCGTTGGTCTTGAATGGGTGCAGGGTAACATTTTTACACCAACATGGGGCATCCGACAAGGCGATCCACTATCACCGTACTTGTTTTTGATTGTGAGTAAGGTCCTCTCCCTCATGATTAAAAAAGCATGTGATGCTAATTACTTGCAAGGTCTAAAGTTTGGAAGAGGTGGACTTATTCTCTCTCACATTCTTTTTGTCGATGACGCCTTCTTTTTTAGTAGGACTAATACTCAGAACTGTCGTAATATGTGATTGTTGCTTGACGGCTACTATCGTGCGTCTAGTCAGCAAATCACTTTTGGGAAATCAAGTCTTTTCTCTAGTCCTAATACACCTGCAAGTATCGGCACGCAGTTGGGTGCCATTCTTGGTATGACTATGGTAGATGACCAAGTTAAATACTTGGGTCTTCCTACAATGTGGGGGAGGTCTACGAAGGAGGCGCTGCAGTTTTTGAGGGAGAAGTTGTTGCGTAAGTTAAGCGGATGGAAACAATCCCTTCTCTCACAAGTCGGTAGGGAGGTCCTTATCAAAGCCTTTGCTCAAGCTGTCCCGAATTACCTTATGAGAGTTTTCTTATTCCCTAAAATGTTCTGTACGAAGACGGAGTCTGAGATTGCCAATTTTTGGTGGGGCCAGAAACAGGAGGAAAGGAAGATCAATTGGGTACGTTGGACCGAATTGGGCCTGCCAAAGCATGAAATGGGTATGGGCTTCCGTAACTTTCATGATTTCAATTTGGCTTTATTGGCTAAACAGTGTTGGCGGCTTCTCACAGAACTGAATTCTCTCTGGGCTCATTCAATCAAAGCTCGCTATTTCCTGAGTGTAATTTTATGGAGGCCACCAAGGGTAGCAGGGCGTCATGGGCGTGAGATAGTCTCATTGAAGGAAGAAAGGTGATCCTAAATGGGGCAAGATGATAGATTATGAATGGAGCTCAAGCGAGAATATGGATTACTAACATAAAAGGAGGTGCTTTGTGTCCTGCTCCTAGTGCCTTTATGGATAGAAATGCTACTGTAGAGACTATTATTGATTGGAATTCAAGAACGTGGAAACTGGATTTAATCCGGCCTCTATTATCGACTGAAAAGGCATTGGCCATTCAATGGATCCCCTATCGGAAGCAGCTTGGAGGTGGATCGCTTGGTGTGGCCGGATGAGAAAAATGGAAAATACTCGGTAAGATCTGGTTATCACAACATTCATACCCATCATCACTGCAGCTCCGTGCATAGGCCTTCTTCCTCTATGTCCATCGACCAAGGGGTCTGGAAGTTGATCTGGCACTCGGATGTCACACCAAAAATTCGCCATTTCTTTTGGAAAGCTTTAAATGGTCACATGGCTGTCTCATCTGTTCTTTATAAGAAGAAACTGAGCAACTCTCCCTTATGTCCAATTTGCGATGATCCTTGGGTTGAACCTGTTTGGTTTGAAGGCCTAACCTATTGAGTTGATAGGCAGTAAATCTATTCTCTGCATACATGGTTGCGGGATTACGTGATGATAGGCCTTAACACAAAGGAGGAGAGAAGCTGAATTTTCTATCAGATTGCATACACTTGCTGGAATATATGGAAGACTAGGAATATGGTGGTGTTTGACAATTACACACCCCAACCCCAGCAAACCCTCAAGGCCATTTTCGACCAGGTAAATGAAAGATTCTCTCTAAAGCATCTAATCACCTCTTCCACCACAAGATCAGTTCATCCCTCTGCCCAGGCTTCTTGGGCAGCCCCTGCTAAGCCTTTTGTCAAAATAAATGTTGATGCCGCTTGGAGGAAAAGCACTTGTTGTGTGGGGGCTGGCATAATTATTCAAAATTTTGAAGGGAGATTTCTTGGGGCCAAATCTGTGGATTTTCAAGTAGAGAATGCTCTTATAGTTGAGGCAACAGCGTTATGGGAGGACTGCAAATTTGCTAAGGAGTGTGGTCACAACATGGTTTGTTTTGAGTCGGACTCTTTGGATCTTATCAAAAGTGTTCGTGGCTCTTTTGGTCTAGGGAGTTGGACTTTGTACCCAATTCTTACCCTCATCCGTGATGAGCAACGATATTTTGAAGAATGCAGGTGGAATTGGACCACCAGGAATTGTAATCAAGCGACGAATCATCTTGCGTCGCTGGCACTATCAAGGAGGAGTATGAAAGTTTGGGTTGAATGGCCCCCCACCTCTCTTGTGCATATCCTTTGCAAGGATGAACTCCCTTGTCCTCACCATGCCTAATTTGGTTGTTGACTGGTCTTGAATCGTTTTGACATCCTTATGGTTGGATTGTCTTTCTGGCGCTTTTCTTCTTGATCAGTCTAAATGTATTGGTTGGTTTCTGGACTCTCTATGTTTTGTCTGTTTCCTTGTATGGACAAACCTGTTTTCCTTTGTTTGTATGGGCGTGAGACTCTTGTTTAAGGGTTCTTGTGCTTTGAATATAAGTTATTTCGACCAATATATATATATATATATATATA